CATGATTCCTGTACACTTGCATTGCATGTGCCTGGGCTTGATCATTATGAGTATCTTTGCCTGTTTTTTGTCTTCTGTTCTGTGTCAGCTTAGGATAGAAACTCCGGCTGTTACCACCAACCTGGTTTCATACACGTGCAATTCCCTAAATCACTCATGTGGACAATGTATTCATCCTATAACACTGTATTTCAGTTTCCAGACAGCGATGGTTAGAGTGGAATAGCTGCTGCAAGTAAAAGTAACGAACCATTTAGCAGTTATACTGCAGTCTGTTGCAAAGTATCGCTTGGTGGCTCTCTCTCGCTACCCATCTGTAGCCATAATGATGTAAGACAGTCTTTGAAATAGTGACATAATTGAATGACTATACCAGGCATTAAAATCTAGTTAAAGTTACCATACCGTTTCTGACACTGACCTCAGGAATACTGCTGGATCACATCTCATTCCTAAAGACAGAGTGCCTTTAGATAGTTCTGTTTCTTCGGTGAGTATAAAATACAGGAGTGAAGAGAAAATAAGCCATTCTAGTTGTGATGAGGAATACAATAACCCATCACCGTAGCAAAGAGCATATTTTATTTGAAAAATACGAATAAAAGATTTTGTCCCTTTTTGTTTATTAAAAGAAAATGTAACAATTTCTGTCAGTAACACTTGCATAAGGAGGTATACTTTACATTACTCTTTTGTTAAAAAATATATAGATATATATATATTTGGAGACTTTGGAAAAATAAGGATGGCCCAATACTTGCAACACGCTCCTAATGTTCCTTAGAATGCATTGTGCCATTTATATGTCCTGCGAGTACAAGGTCTTAGCACTTTATAATCCACAAAATAACCCTAGGCAGCAAAACTTCATACTTTTCTCTATGTTTAGAACATTTCCTTTGTCACTCTTTGTGTGAGTCTATGGGTTTGGTTAACTCCAGACTGGTCCAATTTTCAGATTTTCTAAAGGATGATTTTACAATGTGTTAGACCATAGAAATTTTGTAATTCATTTGAAACACCAGTGAGAATATTTTCACATAGACTTTCTTGCAGTATTCACAACTTAAACAACTGCATCAATAAGAATTCAAACCCAAAAATGTTTACAACTATTTTGGTTTTCTAAGAAGAATGCAAAAATAAAGTGCATAACAGAGAGAAACTACTTTCATCTTTTACAGTCTTCTATGTGTATGTAATAATTAGCAACACTGATAAACAAATTAATTCATTTTCTTTGTATGACTCTTAAACGAATGCCAGTTGAATTCAAGCTCTTCCTTGTCTTTAGAGTGGTTTAAATTACATTTTTGACTGTTTTTAGACTGGCAATATATTTTTACATTTTAAAATGCTTATACAAACCATTTTCTCAGATGACACGTCAAGATTACAGCATACTGAGTACCCTCACCATTACAAGAAAGAGGATTTGTTTGAACGAATGTGACTAATTGATTTGATATAAATGTACTTTTAGTTGAATAGCTGTTGTAAATTGTAAATTGAAAAGCCCTTAAGCTCCACTTTGTATGTGCCATTTAACTTAACTCAGTATCTTCCAGTTTAAGTAAAACTGGCAGTTTTCAGCATTTAGTTGTTAAGTGGCAACAGGATTACTATTTGCTAATAAGAAAATATTTGAGAATATGAGTACACAAAAGATCCATGAAAGCTTTAACCAAAGTCTATACAATCAGACTTAAGCATGAACTAGGAAAGAGTTTCTCACAATACTTTCACTGAATGTATACTTCATTTAAATCACCAACGCTACAAAATGATCGTGCCTTCAATGGCATACAGTGCTAATTTTCTTCCAGTTTCATCAATGTCAACATAGAAATTCTCAAATATAGTTTAAATTTGCTTCTAGAACACAAAGGACTAAAAGAAAAGATTGTGGGATCAGGAAAGGAAATTTGTAAAACTGTTCTTTCTGCACCGTGAGGCCGTTTTCTGTGGCCCTGAAGATTTCGTATTCTGCTATTTGTCATGCAAACAACACAGCACCGTGATGTGTATTTTGAGTAAAAAACAGTAAGCATAGTAAGCATGCAGATGTATCATGACAGAAAAGCACATTTGGCGATCACTGTGGATAGGACATACCAAACAGGACACACTGCAGCATCACTGAAGCAGCGTCTCAATAACCCTGAAGAGTTTTAAAGGATTCATTTCCTGGGGCTGTGGGTACGTTGCATGTGCTATACAGCAGCAAAGAGAGCACCAGGAACAGTGAAAAGCAGACTTTTACTTCTCTGAGATATGACCTCCTTCTCTCATGAACTTAATCAAAAGATGAGCATAAGGAGTGATTATTCACGTATGTCACTGCATTTCTGTTGGCTTTAAGCTTGAATGTTCTATGATGCAAATAAAAAGAAAACAATGGTGGAAACACTGCTTAAAGCACAAAATACAATTGATTTTCTCTGCTTTGGAGTAGTGCCAGAGGGAATGCACATAACTAATACCCGGCTCTCAAAACTATAATACAACAATGAATGCAGTTTTCATGCAGATGTGGTACAAAGTATTATGGCCTGTGGTACTACTGCTGCTGAAAGATTTTCTTATTACGCACTCCACTGATACAATATAAAAATTTAGATATTGGCATAAAGCAAATGTGATGTAAATCAAAAGAAAAATCCTCCTTGTAAAATCCTGCACTACTAGTTGCTTCATTTGGGACAAAACTGAAACATATCCTAACACTAACTCCAAAGAAGACAATACATAAACCATTCTCAGTTTGAGTACAACTTTTGCTGCATTAAAGCATCTGTTTAACTTTACTGTACAATGAGAATGTCTCTATAAATGCATTTCTAGAAGATTCTGTATTTGGTAAAACTTACAAAAAAAAAAATCTGAGTACAGAATATTAAACTACCTTAAAATCATCAGCAGAACATTTTAGAGTTTGGGAGTTTTTCCTCTCTAAATTGACTTGGTGATTCAGATGTTGAAAGAGAAGCATTACGATTTTCGAGTTACAAACACAGCAATGCAGTAAAAAACAATTCTGGAACTACAGTGCAACTAATACTTTTTAGAGTTTGAAAAGTTTCTTACAAAGCTACTTGCTACTCTTTCCAGAAGACTGTCTGAAACAAAAACAGGAAACAACATTTTGGGAAGGAGTTTGTTAAAAAAAAAAAAAAATTCTCAAAGTAGAACTGACCAGAAGTTTCAGTCATGTCTAGGACCTACCCAACCATACAGTAAAGAAGGGAAGGCTTAATAATCTGGTTCACCTGTGCGGCCCACTGTAGCTCAGCAATAAATACAGATCCTGCTTGGAGGAACAAAAGGTACTCCCTTCTCTACTAAGCTGAAGGTGTTACCTAAAATGCATAGGGAGGAATCTAGTGGATCTGTATCAGTCTCCACACCAGACCAGAGAGTAAAAAAAACAATACACAGCTTCTGCTCGTAACAGTTTCCCTATCAAATGCATATTGCAAGAAGCTCGCTTCCTTAAGTGGAGCTACAATTTTCTTAGATGCAGAAGACTGTAATAGATGGTGGGCCTTATAGGTCATAATCTTTCATCGGATATTATGAGCTCCTGGACCTCTCACAGTATTATGACAGGAAAGGCAAACAAAAGGTTAAAGTTTCAAACAAAACAAATGAAAATATAAGAATCTGCTGGATTAGGTGTTAAGCAGCCTGCAATGTTAAGCAGAACTCTTCAGCAGTTCTGCAACGCTAAAATGTTACTAACGTAACAAATCAATTTATTTAATCCATAGGAACCACAGTAATGGTACATTTTACTTTTTTCTTCCTCCATTGACTTAAAATGTTCCTGTTCCCATGATACTTGAAATAGGGAGAAAAAAACTTGCTCTTCTTAGATGGAAGTTACTCAAAGAGAAATTAAACATCAGTAGATTGAACTAAAAAGAAAAAAGCATAATCTTCTTATTCCCTTTGTTTCAGTTTTCTCTATTCCAATGTCTTACCAGCAGCTCTATTTTGCTTTTAGTCACACAGAGGAATAGAGACACATTATGATTAAAAACTCTGTGTTTTAAATGGACTGTTGTAGCTCCTGGACTCAGCCCAGAAAAAGACTTGAAAAGCTTCCTCTGTTCACATAAGTGAAGCACAGTGAACCAAACTGCATATTTTAATGGTGGTGCCGTTGTTGTTTTTGTTGTAAGAGCCTATGCTTCATCTGCTTCGCGCATGAAAAGTACTTTGGACACATTCCATTTAAATGAGTGGTGTTACCATGAAAAGACAAAAAGAAAAAGCACAACACTGGAAGAAACAGTTCCTCTAGAATGTAGTAACAGAGCAGGGTTATGGACTAGAGCCATGTTTGAGCTAACAGCTAATGGTGCGCTCCGTTAGCTGGTTATGGATGAAAAGATTATGAAGGACATAATGAAATGACATCATCTTAATGCAACGTGCTAATTCTGTAAGATTAAATCATCAAAGGACCATTTATTTAAGAGGACAGGTGTGGCTTATCACTTCTGTAAAGGAAACAGACTGTCAGCGTTTCTCACACTGATAGTAAACCCCATTGGCTACCTCATGTTGGTATCACAAGGCCTAAAGCACAGCCAGAAATGCAACATCACAACCACCTGCAAGAGATTTGCTCCTCCGTTAGCTATCTTCCTAAACAGGCATGACCATAAACTTACTGTAGCTGGGAGATGTTAAGCATATTGCAATAAAGAGGTCATTGCTTGGCTTCACTTTAGATATTGTTACAGATACGGTACCACGGACTTTATTGAGCAATTAAAAAATATACACAAGGGACAATAGCTTCTTTTTTCTGTATTTTTCAAAATTTGACTTTCTTCCAATTGGAGAACCCAATTTCAAATATGAAAAGGGCACTTGTTCTACAGTAACTGCATACAAATTTCTCAGTTCCAAGTAGCATATTCATTTTTCGTTACCGTTGCTGTCATTATATCTCCAGTTGTGTAGGAACTTCTCTGTTCTGGGAATTACAACTAAGTTGTTCTTTCTGGTTCTATTTCCCCATAGAGTTCAGCTAGCTTTTTGAACTCAGGTCCCCAGTCTCCAAGGTAATTATAATCCTGGTCAGAGTATGTTGTGGCTGAATCCAGAGAGCTGATAGATCCAGCTTCTGATCTATGTCCCTCATAGGCGTATGTCTGTAGGGAGTCATATGGGGGCACGCTGGGGTCCAGATCGGCCTCTGCCAGTCTTTGTTTAATGAACTCCTGAACATCTATACTGTCAAGGCTTAAGGAGGGATGATGCCTGGGCGCAGGCTTCAATTCAGGACGAACATCCCTCCGGTATTTTAGCTCCTCAGCAGCTGATGGATTCCGGAGTGCTGTGATGTCAAATGCTTCTGTGTCTTCTTCTCCACCACCCTCGTCATCATATGTCACAACATTTTCCCGGACGTCTTCTTCTGAAATGATCAAGGGCTCCTTCTTGCTACGTCTTAGCGTGATGAAAAGGACCACGATTGCTAAAGAGAAAACTGCAGATATTAGACCAGGTTTAAAGCTTACATCTGAAGAAAGCAGATATACGCTAAAGAAATAGCAGATACTAAGTCACAAATACATAGGTGTAACATTTTCAGGCTAATACTGGTATTCAGGATCATTACATCAGGCAAGTGTCTGTAACAAAGAATGATCGAACCTGCCCAATCTGGAAAAGAGCGTACTTCTATTCCTAAGTGAGCAGTGCCTTTGTTGTGTAATGTGTTACCTTAAGACGGATTACTGCGTGCCTGGAAAGCACCCACATCCGTACAGCTGTGTTTTACCATAGCAACATGCCAAAGTGCAACAGGCTGAGACCACAAAATGAAGGGCAATATTAATAATGCTGTACTGAAACTACAAACTTCCAATACACCTTGGTCTTCCAAAGAGCAGGTAAAAGGCACTCTTGTACTGTATTTTTCCTTTCTGTGGATTGCTGGGGTTTCTTGAGCCCATAACGAAATCCACTAGATTATTGGTGATCTCATAAAGGGCATAAAAGGGGATAACATTCTTTGAGTTAAATAAGAAATGAGTAACTAGGGCTGATATTTTTCAGAGGCATTGTTAAGGGCTTTCAGTGCTTCATTAAAACCAATATTTAGCATATATATTGAATTAAGATTCAAAAAGGTTTATTTTTTCTTATGAATGCCCAATCTTGTATGATGAAATATAAGTTTATAAACTAAATGTGTTACTGTACATTTTAAAACAGCTTTCTGACAAAGATGTTTTGAAGTAAGCTGTGAGAAAAGTAATCTCTAGAAAATGTAAAGCCTTTGGAAAAAGGTCCTCAAAAGCGCCTATATGGATCACAGTGCAATTTCCATTATTTCTTGCTGTCTCTGTGAGAATGCAGAAAGGTACGTGAGTAGTGCAGAGATATGTACCCAGGAAGTTGTGCCTCTGCCAGAAAAAGAGAAAAGTAACTAAAGGGTAGCATTCAAATTGGCCTCGGCACAAAGAAAAAAAAAGTCAAGCTAAAATGCACTTGCAAGGGCATTTATCTAACAGAGTCATTTTATAGTCTCATCAGTCCCTTCCCTCTGTGGATTATGTTGTGCATTGCTATCAGTTTATCCCACAAAGGTAATTAAGAAATTACTTTTGTACAGTGCTAATGGTGCTGCTCACGAGGTAATGCATTTCAAAAAGCTTTCCTCATCTCTTTTCTATCATTTTTCACACTGTTCTAGGCATGGAATGAGAGTCAGTGGCTTTTTGAAATCTTTCCAAATTACAGAAAAAAGATCTGCAGTGCTAATTACTTGATAACCTCTGAAAAATAATTTCTAGTGGATTCCAGATATTCATGTATGTACTTTAAAGACATTTTTCCCCTATTAATTTTAGCTAACCCTTTCCCCTCTAATCACAGCTAGGTTTTTCTAATTACCTCCTACTACCAGCCTCTGGTTCACAAAACGTATCATATTAAAATTTTCTGCCTTGTCACATTCAGAGAGCCACTGAATAGACAGCATTAAGGATAGAATTACTTAATATTGAAAATGGCTTACCAAGAAGAATGACAACACAGAGCAGGATTGCAATTAAAGCTCCTGTGCTCAAGCCAGCCGCGGAGAGAAAAGCTTCAGCATGGCATGTTCTCACTCGTCCATCTCTCTCACATGCACAAACCCTAATTGTGAGAGTACTGCTGCTGCTGAGAGGGGGCACTCCACCATCAGAAATCAAAACTGGGAGGTAATAGATATCTTGAGTGGTTCGACTGTATCTCCTTCGTCTTGTCAGGATACTGGCTGTATTGTCTACAAAATCAAAACCAGAATATCATTTTAATGAAGCAAAAAAAGAAAAATGTTATTGCCCGGTTGTTTCCCGTCAAGTAGAAGCACAGGGAATCTTGAAACTAGACAGTCCTAATCTGTGAAAATGCAAAATCTAGAATTAAAACTTAGCAGGAAGCATTTGTGGCTGATGGAGGAGAAAGACGAGTCAGGGGAAAGTATTTAGCATTACATAAATAAGATTATTTAAGCTCAGGTACCTGTCTTAGAGCCTAAACAAACTTAGACAAACATTTGAGGCCCAGTTTGCAATTGCTTTAATCCAGTATTATGCTGTTGGTAGTATAGGGACACTTGTAAATGTGAATACCTGGAATTCTGAGAGTATCTGTTGTGGAATTCGTCCACAACATAAAATACTCTTGATTCTCAGAAGAATGTTAAAAGGTCTTTAGTAACAGTTAAAATAAGACTTTCATGTTTCACTGTTTGTGATACATTTTACAGATCAGGTGAGCTTTCAGAAAATATCTTCAAGGACAGTGGCCAAAGACTCATGCTGTGGAGAGATCAGGAGGAAGAAGGGAGGGGAAGGGATAGCAGAAGGGAAGGGAAAGGAAGGGGAAGAGAGCAGATATTACGTATTCTAAACAGGTGGAGGTTAAAGGTAGGTAGGCAAAAGGGAGACAGTTATATAAGATTTTGTTCCATTATGTTACCTACAGGTCCATCTAGCATATATTCCAGTCAATGAGAACACTAATGCTTATTATACGCACATTGCAAGAGCATTTATAGGCACTAAAAGCTGCTAAACATACCCCTTTAAGTCCAAGAAAATAAGGGGCATAAAGAGAGCACAGGGGAAGAAATCCTACAATAATATATAGTTATATCTTGTTTTCATATGTATAAAATTTAATCTAAATTTGTTGCCACCACTTTAAAAGTACTGGCCCCTGAATATGAGCCCACAGATAAATCAAACAAAACTGAAGACAGTGAGAAATCGGAGACATGAGAGAGTGGAGAGAGAGAGATCACAGAATCACAGGTAGGGGTTGGAAGGGACCTCTGAGGGTCATCTAGTCCAACCCTCCTGCCGAAG